AGTATAATTCGTGTGACAATTTAAAGCGTCTCATATTATTTCTAGTAATATTTTTTATTAGATCAAATCTTGGAGTTTTACTTGATTTTATTTACACTGTAAAAAAGGATTTTTTAAAATTGAGTAAAAATGTGTCAAAATAGCTCTAAAACAATACAGTCGAATTTTAAAACTCCATGTCCTTATTATTGATTCTAGTAACAGGAAAATTGAAACATCATATAATCACTTTTGATCAAAATGTATAGACTCATAAATAACGACGGAGATTTATGTAGAAAAAATGAAAGTTGTCTGCCGGTAGGATTCGAACCAAGGTCATCCCGGTTCATAGTAAGATGCTGTATCCACCTACTTGTATATCCCAGACCAGGAGGAGTTAGGAAGTTTTATATAGTGGCTGCAGAAGTGACGTATCATGGCTTACATCATGACTACATCATTGCTTACTATACGTGGCTAAAAGTATTTGAAATATCGAGAAATAAGTAAACATTAAAATTAAAATTACAGGTTTCCTAACTGACCTATTAGGATTTTATTTTCCAAATTGCATCCCTTTGTACCATTGAAATTGGAAATTGGTTTGATATGATGTGTCATTGCGGTGGCTACCATACGAAGCTTTTTAACTTTTCCTGTATGAGAGATATTTAGAGTGGTTAGAATATCCTACTACGAACCCGGAGGTCCTTCGTTCGAACCTTCCCGTCAGCCTACGAACACCTTCCTCCCTCATTTCTCCCGTCGCATCGTTTTTGAGGCTATGCAAAATGCTCAATATCAATTATGGGACTTTCAAATTCGATTATATTCGATCGAAGCTTTTTTTTTACATATTATTTCTCAATTTTGAGAAAACTTTTTCTATAAAGTAGAAGTTGTAGTACTTTGAAATGTTACATGATTGCGTGTACTTTTCAAGATCCTGATACCCTATGAAAATTGATAAAATGACCCATATTAAACAACACTTCTATTTTTATCAGCAAAAAAAACTGCTTTAAAAATTGGAATAAATTAACTCTTAATTGATACTATAAAAATTTCTGAAGGAAACTTGTGATGAGATTGAAATATGTTTTTTGCGATAATGCGTTTTATGTCCTCTGAAGTCTTACGCTTTACTTTACTTTGTATGTAAACATTCTGAAATAAGAATGTAGAAAAAAAAATTTACACTTTTATTTTACTAAAAAATTTTATGAGTTACATACGTGTAGTGCGCAATAAAACGGACCATACTGAATAACTTTTGATCTAATGTTTGGATCTTCACTTTTTAAAACTTAATCTTAATGGCTCAATGGGATGATCTCAAATATGCTTATTAATTAGTGAAGACGATATTTTGAGTAGCGAAATCCGACGCAAAAACGTACTTTCTTTGAATAAACATACATTTTTTCTACAGAATCGGAGTTTTGAACCCCAAAATTTAATGAGTAGCCGCACTTTGAAAAATATAGTCCCCATTGTTAGATAATTTAATTTTAATTGTGTGGTCCCTTTGATATTAATTTTACCTTTTGTGTATTTTGCTGTATCTCAAGTACTTAATCTTAGCTATCTTAAGTTGGCTTAAATAATCCCGTATGAAGCAAGATATACCTTCATGAAAAGTCAAACTCCCCAAACCATATTAATAGCAACATAAAGTGACAACAGTAACTATAAATCGTACCTAATTTAGTTTTCAATATTTTTTTAGGATAAAATACTTAATCTTCAATTTCATGTGATCATTAAATATCATCATCAGAGTTACATAAATTAAATAAGGAAACATACATACATATGGATTAATATGTTGATTATAACATTTTTTAATGTGTTAAAATATTATTCAAACAAATAAACCTTATACAATGATTAACTTAATATAACATCTTATAGAGAGCCATATAGGTTCTCTAATGCGTAGTGTCCTGTGGCAAACTAGTAGTCTCTCCTCCTTTCATTTTGTTTCTTTTTCATTTTATTTTAAATTATAATTTTATTTGTGTTTCGAAAAAAACGAAAAGTTCGTTGCAATAGTTGCCATTTGACGCAACATTTTTCCCTTCTGGCACTTTTTTCTACTAAATTTTGCATACCATGTTATCATTTCAAATAAAACCATGGTTTAAGTAGGCTTAAATGTTTTTTTTTTATTAAATGTTCGTTCCTCACACAGTTCTTGAAATATTTTGTCTGCCAATTTGTTTCCGGTTTTCAATGCCGGTGTATGATGAAGAATTATACTGATGTATGAGAGATACCTGATGAAACCTGTCATTTTCATAGTTTTAAATGAGATTAAAAAGTCAGTTAAATTTCAAGGTGTCATAAATTTAAAATTCAATTATTCTAATCAAATTTAAAGAAAAAAGTTTCTTTTTTCATTTATTACCACATGTTTTTTTTTACACACGATAATCTCCTTTTTATTAAGTTACACCGAATGACATTGACATAGAAATTTAAATAACGAGTGTTTTAAATAGAAAATATTAGTTTCCTCTTTTAAGGTACGACATAAAGTGGCTTAAATAACAAACTCTTAAAATAACACATAATAATTTCCTCTTATGAGCTATTTGCTTAATTTTTCCCAACTTCGTAAGAAAGGAAGATGAATTCGTCATGCATTTCTACCGCAGAAACAACTCGAATTCAATTGAAAAGAGTGTCTTGCAAAAGAGTTGAACTTCATTTTTTTAATGACTTCCGCCCTCTCTCATTCATTAAAAAGTACTTAGATAAAAAAAACTCAGCGGCAACGCTTTCCATATCACCAGTTTGAATTGGATCATTGTTCAACTTTCTTGGGCTTTAGTTGCGCAGTAGTTGTGTAATTTGTTCTGTATCATTCAATGATGTCATTTCCTTTACATTACTTGCTCATCTGAAAATATGTATATTTATTTCAAGTAAATCAATTCACAAACAAAAATGTGGCATGCGAAAGAACTTGAGTAGAAATAATACGGTATTTGTTTCCATGGAATTAGTAAAATAATGTCTTAAATGGCTGAAATTAGAGTAAAAGACAGAGATACAAAATTGGTGGAAAGAGATTTTTATTTGATTTGTTTTGATTTTTAAAAAAAAATCTTTGACTGCCACTTCATTTTATATAATAATAGCCATTGAACGGCACACAAATTCTTGAGTTTATTACTATCAAGATTCAACTCAGTATTCTTGTAGTTTTAAACCCAACCCAGAAGACAAGGGTACTCCTTGATCGAGCATTGCCTCGTGGAGAACTTTTTGATGGAACAAACCTGCATTTGTGTTACATGAAAAAGAAAACCTCGAAAACCTCCCACGGTTAGCACGACGGCCAGGCGATTATAACGTACTATCCGTCTACTCCTAAGGGTATTTAAATTTGGAACTGTGATACTTGCGAGTCAGGAAGGGAATTCATATCTACAGACCATCATAGGAAATCGAATCGGGGTCACTTATAGGAAGGAAGGAGTTCTATCCCCTGAGCCACTGTGACAAATTGACTACCATTTTTTTTAAAAAAATTAAATAAACAAAAAAATTTAAGTCAAACAAAAATAAGAGTGAGGAAAGTTCCAACTCCATAAAATAAAATAAGAGTGAAGATTTCATGACAATTGGGAAGTTCAAGTTGCAATGACTATATCTCTTATTCTCATTATTCTTGTAAGTTTTAAGTCAATTTTAGTCGCATATTAAATCTATAAGTTGCAGTAGTTTTTTTATAAGCTATTTATATTGATTTAACTGGATTCTAATTGATTGACAAACGTAAATTTTTTCACAACGAACTGACTGGACATTCTAGCTCAAGGTGCGAAATTTCCACTCGTCATTGGCTACCAAATGCTTAGGGCTGGCCAGTAAGTTTTATCTTATAAAATATTGTTTTTCAAAACAAACTATCATCCCATACGTGCAAAATCTGGGTAACATATCGGGACTCAATTTCGCCAAACTTCCGCGAATGCAGAACTCGAAATTTGCAAGACCGATTTACTCAGAATTTCAATAAATAAACCTTTGAAAAATATTTCGATCCTAGCAAATAACATATTATTGCCAAAAAACAGTGCTATGCGAACATGAAGTGTTAATAGTATGGGAACATTCCTGAAAATTTTCTTATTTTTATGACTTTTAATGATGTGTGGTTGATATCGGAATCATTGAAGCCTCAAACAATCTTACTTTAAAGAATTATTAGTTTTTAAAATAAATAAGTTTAAATTTTTCTACTTCCCTTTACAGTGTTGGTCACCAAAAAGTTCTTTATTCTACATCTGCTTACATTTTAAGAATTGATCATATTTTTCGTGAAAATTTTAGTCTGGCTACTACCTTCAGAACTGAAATTTTATGCCCTGAACTACACCATAAAAAAATATTATTTTTTTGTTTTAGATAATTTAAACATTAAAAGTTTTCAATACTGGTTAGAAAAGTATACGTCATTAAAATATTTATAGCTGTGCAAACTTTTTAACAAAAAGTTAGTTATAAACTTCAGAAATAATGTTTAATTTATGACAATTACAACAGTTTAAAATTAATCAGAACACTACTTTTGACTAAGCAAAACTATATCAATAAAAATGTATCACAGTGCTATTTTTCTTACGTTTTTAAGTTGTAGCACACAAAATATTTTTTTAGTCAAGGAATACTTTGATATGTTATATCTGAAAACTCTTGTAATTCGAACACTTTTTTGCAATAAACTATTATATTAATTTGATGTGTATATTTAATTTTTTAAATACATAATCCAGTTTAAGTTCATTTTTGCTGAAATTTAATTTTTTATTCAAGCAATCCTATTATAAATATTTTTTCAGATTAAATATTTCAAATTTTCTACCTGCAGTGCTTTATTGCATTAATTTTTAAAGGCAATAGTAATAAAGAAACAAGTAAATTTAAAACATTGTTATAATATTTGTAGTTTATGCAGCAATGTATTTTAAATACTTCATTAAAAGACTTTTATTTGTTCTTTCTAGAAATGCTTCAACCGGAAATACTTTGGTTCGCCCGTTATTTGTGTGCCCCACCAAAATGACATGGAAATTAGAATCTTCTGAACAGTTGCTACAATGATCAGAGAAAATTCCATCACTAAATCATAATAATAATAAAAAAAATCATGAAAACTGATAACAACCACAAAACGATACGGACTAGTTCATCCATAAATGATGCATACGATATGCATGAATCTCACAGCCACGAGCCTCTGGTGGCGCAAACTTACAACCTCGAAAACTTTTCGCGAGCTGTTGAGGACAAATTTGAAGATGATGAAGAAGACGATGACATGGGAGGCCCTTGTGGCTGGGGTCCATTGCAACCGTCCAAATTACAGAAATTCCGTTCAGCTCGCTGGGTCCTCTTTTGGTTATGCTGGGCAGGTTTCATGCAAGGAGTCATTGTAAATGGTTTTGTAAACGTTGTCATAACAACAATCGAGAGAAGGTATCAGTTGCGTAGCACGGAATCGGGACTTATTGCTGGAGGATACGATATAGCTTCGTTTCTGTGCCTTATACCAGTGAGTTACTTTGGTGGTACCAGAAGCAAGCCAGTTTTTATTGGTTTTGGTGTCCTGGTCTTGGCTCTGGGATCTTTCGTGTTCTCACTACCTCATTACATGTCCGGTCATTATTCGTTTAGTCAGGAGCAAGAAGACTTGTGTTCTGCTACGAACAATTCCATGGACTGCTCATCTGAGAACATGTCTTATTTGTCTCAGTACAAATATATATTCTTTTTAGGACAGTTACTTCATGGAGCAGGTGCTGCACCATTTTATACGTTAGGGTGCACCTATTTAGATGAAAATGTTCCCACGAAAATGTCATCCGTATATTTGGGTAAGTCATCATAATTCAGATTTTTTTAGTATAATTCTAATGCTTTTTCTTAACTGAAATAATGTAAGATAATTACAAATAGTAATAGTGCAGGTAGCGATAAACTAATAAATAAATTGATTACTTAGTTATGGCTTATAGATTAGTTTCCTGGTACTTCCCTGATCAACCCAAAGGTTTCCACTGATCCATCGATTATGACTGATTAATTTTATTAATATTGGTACTTAATATTGTTATATAGCTAAGAATAAATAATTTTGGGAAGCAAACTTTTCGTTTTGCTTTCATACAAATGCTTAATTTTGTCAAATTTATTGTGAGGATTTCAATTCTAAAATTGGTTTCGCTCCTAAAGCCGCAGAATTTTTAAAATGAAACTTTATTAGTCTATTTTTTGTTGTAACAGTCAAGTTTAAAAACGTTATCTGTAACAGGGGATTACATAACTGTTACGACAAACTTCTAGGAGTGTTTGGGCACATAATAAGGATTGAAATTGCATAGGAACCCATGCCCAGAAATATCGTCGTACGCGGATAGGGGCTCTACCATAATATGACCTGTTCAAAAGCTCATGAAGAGACAGTTAATAATAGGGAAGCGTCCCTATGAAGACATTTCTAGGAGATTTCTAGGAGGACATTTCTAGGACATTTCTAGTTTTTACGCAGTATAAATCCTTATAAAGTATCTTAACTACCCTAAAAGTTTATTGCAACATTCATGCAATACCCTTTTATAAAAAACCATTTTTAAACTTGTACACTTCTAAAAAATAAATAAATATTTCGTTTAGAAAAACTAGCTTGGAAAGTGAAACCGATTGCAGATTTGATATCAAGAACGTGAAAATATCCAAGATCCATTAAAACATTTCATGGGACAGAAATTTTTTTTTGTTCCTAGCAATCGATAACAAAGAAAAAGAAGAAACTATGGCTTTAAGGAAAACGAATCAGTTTGTTTTGTTTTTAATTCCCAAATTCCTGACTTTTTCTAAATATATAAAAGATTTTCTATCCTGTCTAAGACTATGAGGGTAAAAATAGTTTTATCGCAACTATTTATAAAGTTTACTTTTGATTGTCTAATTTTATTCTAGTTTCATCATTCTAGTTAATTTTCCACTGTGCACAACGATGAGGTTTCGAGTTAAAGAAACATTTTCGTCTTACATTTGAGACTTCGTTTTTCGCAAGACGTAATTACGTAATTTCGTGATGAAATGATTCTCAAAATTGACGAAATACTTCTCAGGGATTGAAAAGTCGTCAAAAATGAAATTTTTATTTCTGAGAGTGAACTCAAGCGCAAATAAAAAAAGACTTTCGAAAACAGAAAAATTATTTTCTCACAAATTGATGTGATGCAGACTTTTCAATATGAAGTACTTGGTTTTTTGCAAATCAAATATATCACTTTCCTTTTTCTAATTATCTATCGCACTGCATGTTAAAATTAAAAACTTAAATTTACTGTGCTCAAAATAAAGAAAGCACTTGAATAAATTTTAATTTAATAATCGTATTATCACATGATAACATGCAATTTCAATAGTTTTAGCCTTAAGAACCCATCTAAACCTTAAATACTCACAGAGAAAAAAAGTATGGTCAAAACTAATACAATATGATAAAATTTACCGTGTTTCTTTCTCTATGGGAGCAGCAAAAAGCACGGTAATTTTTACCGAAGAGCTTTTAGTAATAACTTTTAACATTAAAAAAGGGTTTTTAAGGCAAAAGGTTAGAGCATGGCAAAAAAATTATTTACTCTGTTAAATTTACTTATTAGTTTTGTATTTTTACGAAAATGTGTGGTAATAAGAATTATAATATTGAAAACCGGAATTTCCGTTACCATATAAACGAAAAATTATCAGATGAATGGTTTAAATATCACTTATTTTGATTTTATTACTAGAGTTATGAATATTGTACTAGAAATATCCTTACCTTACAAGTACTGTAATTTTTCCAGAATTTTTTCCCCGTGCTTAAATAGATTAGCACAATCGATATTTTAAGGTACGGAAAAAATATACTTTCTCTGAACAAATAAATATTTTTCTGGCATATCTAGATTATTTATCCTTATAATACTGAGTGCAAGCCACCTTCAGGAAAATACGGCCCCAATTGTTTATTCAGGGAAGGTTTTGTTTCAGTTTGATAACTATTTATATTAAGGAATGTGGGAGAAGGAAGTATTTGCTATCGAAAACTATTTGTGCAAAAAAAAATTTTAGTGAAAATTAACCATAATTTGCGAAAAATGTTTACGCAATTAGAACTTTAAACACATTCCAAACCGTTATTTTATTCTATAACTGGCGTTGAACAAACCCAATTTTGAATTTACAATTATTAACTCCGTAACCTAGTAGTTTTAAACCAAACTAGAAGACAAGGAACTCTTGAATAAATATCGGGACAAACTAGCCATCATGGTGAAATTGTTTGTGGAATTAACCCAAACTTGCGTTACATGGAGAAGAAAACCAAGTAAACCTCCCCCGGTTAGCCAGGCGGAAAATTGATTCTAACCCATGATCCGTCTATCACTGAGAATACTTTACGTCAACATTGTGGTCGGTGCTAGTTGAGAGCAGAATTCGTACCAATTTCTTAAATTATCAAACTTGTGCCACCTTCCAGTTATCACTGAATACATTTAATAAAGAGAGAAAAAAAGGATAAAATTTAAATGTACGATGATCATTCATTCCTTCACATATTCATTCATCCGCCATTTAAATTTTGTTTGTTTTTTCTCTTGTTATTGAATGCATTAATAAACTTTTAGGATAGGCTTAAAGTTATAATTGCATGGAAGACTTTAGGATTAGAATAGGAAATAATTAGTACAAAATGCGAGAAAGCGCCTATAACATTGGAATTTAAAAAAATATTACTTTTACAATTCAAATTTTTTATACAGTTTTATTCTATAGTTTTTTCTGTTAACACAACGTTTCTGTTACTACAAATCAGTAACTGTTATAGTCAAAAGTATCTTAAAGAAGAATATTAATGCTAGGGAAGTTTGCCGCATTAAACTCGAAAAAATTCTGTCATACGGCACCTTCCAATATCTTTAAGTCGTTTTTGAACATATTTAATAAAGAGAAAAAATACGGATGAAATATAAATATGTGCAAATCTCTAAAACCTTTAACTTTTGATAATAAAAAAGAATAGGCACATTATTTTTACACCTCCAGAATTGTTTGAAAATGTATAAAATATCAGAAACTAATCGTGAACATCGAAAATTTTGATGCCCTTATTATGTTAAATTCAATTAATTAATCCTGAGGTTACGGTTTAACAGGGTTACGGTCTGGACAACCTAGAGAATAAATCGAATTCGATTAATGATTCCTGAGATTCGCCCATATAGGATGACCATTAATTTCGTCACATATTCATTAATCCCACATTTAAATTCCGTCCATATTTTCTCTTCTTTTTAAATGTGTTCAATGAAGATATGGTATATGTTTTAAGTTATAATTGGAAAAATACTTATCGCAAATTATATGTTTTATTTAAAATAGTTCCTAAATTTCCTTTAGTGTTCACCTATAAAACTTTTCAAATTTGAAACACTATTCAACAACACACGCTCACCATGGAGTACAGACTCACACTTTCCAATCTCTTCAAGTCGTTACTGAACATATTTGATAAAGAAAGAAAATACGGATAAAATATAAATGTAGGATGATCATTCATTCCTTCACATATTCATTCATCACACATTTAAATTCCGTCCTTATTTACTCCTGTAATTAAATGTCTTCAATGAAGATATGGTGTGTATGTTTTAAGTTATAATTCCATAGAGATTTTTCGCAAATTATATATTCTATTTGAAATGCCTAACAGCCTGTGTAGGGGTCAGGGAACAGGCCTTGCATCAGAAAAGTTCTGAGTTCGAATCCCGGGCAAGGCATGGATGTTCTTTCTTTCTCTGTAATATGGTGCCCCTATAAGAGTGGCCAACAAATCTGCCCTTCAGATACCTGTATGATAAATGGTCATTTTCCAGCTGGGCATTGGAAAAAAATATTTTATTTTAAATAGTTCTTAAATTTCCTTTACTGTTCATCTATAAAACTTTTCTCATTTGAAACACTATTTAACAACACACGCTCACCATGAAATACAGACACAAACCTTCCCCCTCTTCGAAAAAAAGTTAGAAAAAAAAACTGAAAATCACATCCCTCGATGAAGCTTATCTTCCAAAAGAATGTTGTAGAAAAACAGTCCTTTTAAATGAAACAACAAAAAAAAATCTCATCACCATTCTGACAAAGTCAGTGCTCCTTGTTATAGCCTCATCCTGGGTTATTTCAATGACAGCTTGGCACACGACAGTAGAGATAGTCAAAGCTCAGCGAATTGGTCGTTTATCTGCATTGGCGCCGCCAACAATTGGGGACGCGAGCCTTCATTAGGATGCTAATGGAAAGAGATAGGACTTGGAGATGGAGTGCTGTTTGTTGAGAGAGCACTGAGGCATCAGCTGGGGATGGAGGACATTTTCGATTACAGTTTGTTTTTAAGAGCCCTCGTCCTAAAATTATGACACTAGTTCGTATTGGGATAATATCGGTGTTTGGAACTCTAGAGATTAAGCGATTGTAGAAATACGCTTTCAGTACAGCAGATTCTAGAATTTATATAAACGACACTTTGTTATTTAGTCGCAAAATAATTTAAAGCTCTTATAACCAAATAATGCAAGCTTTTTTTTAATGCATTTTTTTTTTAATTTATATAAATTATTTGTTATTATTTACTAACTGTTTTTGGGAGCTAGTTTAGTTCACTTTTTGTCTGTTTCCTGCACTGATTCAACTCTTTGTAGCTCATCATTTATCTAATTACTATAGATTAAATATAGTAATAATAAGGTCATAACCATTTGAAGAAGCAAAAAATAAATATATCGATTGCTACACAAAATTCATATTAAAAGCCGAGCTT